TTGAAATGCAAGAACCAATAGTATTTGGACGCTGGTTTGATTTTGAAATTGTGGAGGGGAACCAAGAATTAAATATGACTCTAAGCATTCATGACTACAGGACCAGGAAACTGAGCTGGTAGATAGACAGGAAAGTGTTCATTCTTTAAATTATTCATTCACTAATTCATTCTCCCATTTAACATGCCCGTATTGAACAATTTCTGAGGGCAATACGCTGCCTCAGTCACTGAAAAAGCTTCTTACAAGCTCTCCATTTAAGCTCTACAATAAAATTGGGAAGGAAAGACTTGCATAATGTGAAATAGTTAAGTAAAAATGGAAGGGAGTAAGTGATTAGGTTAAGAAATAATTGAATGCCTTGGCCCGGGCGGCTCAGTTGGCTGAGCACTGTCTCATGCACGGAGAGATGGAAGGTTTGATTCCCAGTCAGGGCACATCCCCAGCTGGGGGCGTGCAGGAGGCAGCCCGGCCTACATTTCTCTCTCTCATGGATGTTTTTCCCTCTCTCCCTTCCTCTCTTTCTAAAAATCAATAAAAACATAGTTTTTTTAAAAAAGAATTGATCAATGCAGACATGGAGTAATAGGAAAATACGAAAATAAGATCAAAGTGGGTTATAGTATAGGAGCTGAGTTTTCTGGAAGACAGAATTAAACTGACGCGTGAACTCAGTTCACACCCGACATTTGCAAAGCATCTAGCGTTATGAGTGCTGTGCTGGGCTGGGTGTGGCGAAGGCTACGAAACGAACAGGACATGGACTTCAACGGTTAGAAACTTCCACACTGGACTAGGAGACAGACACTGACATAAAAATACTAGGCCTCCATGGTTACATGTGGGAAGTAAAATATAAGTGAGGAGTCAGTGGAGAGGAGAGAGAGAGAGAGAGAGAGAGAGAGAGAGAGAAAATGGGGCAAGGGGCAGGGGTACCAGAGCAGGTTTTCCTTGAGCTGGTGTTAAACCACTTATGGGGTGAAATGCCTTTAGGGCACGAACAAATACACTGAGGTGAGAAAGTGCCGCCTAATGAAACCTTAAGAGAATCACTAGGATTTAACAGCTACTTATTGACTCCAGAGAGGAGGGGGCAGGGCAGGGAAATAAAAGAGGAAGAAGAGTGGGAAATAGAAATGGGGGGTCTTTAGGGGAATCGCAGGAGGCAATTTGGATGAGGAAATGCACGAGAGTCGGTCCGCAGCTTCAAGGAAGTGCAAAGGCACTGTGGTAGGTCAGAGTTCAGGCGAAGGCACAGAGCTCACCTTTGAAAAGGGGAAAGCATGACTGGGCCTGGATATCCAGGCAGTGAGTCTGCAGCACATTCTCAGCAATGCCCATCGTCTAGGGGATGCTCATTTCCAGAGTGCTCTGTAAATCTAAACTGCCTCACCCTCCCACACCTCCACACCTTCTTGAACCCTCCCAGGGGGCCCCAGGGAACAACACAGCCGTCATCAGGGAGATTCTTCGATGCAACCAATTGCCAGGTGTCTAAACAGACATTTCAGACAGCATGGCCATAGCAGAAGTCTTGATCCATAGCTCCCTCCCCCACCAAAAAATTCATTCTTTCAAGCTTCACATCTAAATAAATGGTATCTTCAGATATTCATCTGATTAGCCAAAACTCTAGGCTTCATTTATTCCTTTCTGTCTCTCCCTCCTGTATTGATTGGTTAGCTGGTTCAATATCCATATTATATCCTCAAATTGGCCATGTCTCAGCATTCCCACTGTCCACGTGCCTCTCGTCTCTCACCCACACCACTGTAACAGCCCTTTATCCCTGCCTCCTCCCATGACCCGTGGGTCTGATGCCAGAGGGGCAAGTCCCTAGGGGAGACTCACCCCAAGCCAAGAAGATTCTTGGCTTCATGCAGGAAATAATGAAATAATTCAAGACTCAAGCCACACAAGAGGTTAAAGTAGAAAAGCAGCTTTATTGAGCAGAGAGGATAAGAAAAGCCACTCCCTAGACAGGGTATCGAATTCTCCTCGAAAGAGAAGGAAGAGAGACTCCAACCATATCTAGAGGTTGAGCTTATATCTGTTTGTAGTTTCTATAGCAAATGGCTGGTATGGGGAAAGAGAGTGGGGAAAAACATTAGAATTAACTTTAACCTTTACAAGGTATATTTTGTGGTCTGTTTTTCCTTTATGGTAAAGGTAAATGATAAGGTATGGGTGAGTAGCTATTAATGAATCTTTGCAGGAATTTTCTTTGTCCAGAGACTCTCTGTGGTCTGCTTGCATCTCAGGTCAGCTGAGTTCCGTGTCAGGCTGCATGTAGCAGGCCCCTGACTTAACTTTGATTTTAGTTGATTCGTATAGTTCTCATGCCCATCTCCTATGTGAGGCCCATCCTCCATCTAGCGGTCAGAATGATCTTGTGAAAGTGTCTCAGAATGTCTCACTCCCCTGTGGAAAATCCACACCGGGCATGAAAGCCAAACTCCTTGTCATGGCTCCAAGCCCAGGGAGCCCCATTCATCAATTGCATTGGAACTCCTATGGCACCGCCTCAGAGTCCTTGGCCCAAAGCATTGGCTAAGGCAGCTCTTTACTCGCTGACACATTTAGTAAATAGCACATTATTACCTTATGTTATTTTCTTTATAGCTCATATGGTGCCTGCCATATCTCAGATATTTCATTAAAAAATATTTTATTTAAAAATTATATATTTATCCCCACTAGAATGGAAGCTTCTTGAGAAAAGGGATTCATTCAAGTTCATGTGTCCCTACAGTCTACAATAACACCATCTTTTTTTTAAAATGTTTTAATTGATTTTTTAGAGAGAGAGGAAGGAATTGGGGTAGAGAGATGGAAACTTCGATAAGAGAGAAACATTTATCAGCTGCCTCCTGCATGCCCCCTACTGGGGATCGAGCCCGCAACCTGGGCAGGTGCCCTGATTGGGAATTGAACTGTGGTCCTCTTGGTTCATGGATCGACATTCAACCACTGAGCAACTCCAGCTGGCCTCATATTTAATTGTACAGTTCAGTAGCATTAAGTATATTCATACTGTTGTGCAACTAGTCTCCAGAACTTCACCTTGCAAAACTGAAATGCTATACTCATTAAACAACTCCCTATTTCTCCTTCCCCCAGCCCTGGCAACCACCATTCTACTTTCTGTTTCTTTGGATTTGACAACTCTAGATACCTCACATAAGTGGGATCATACAGTGTTTGTCTTTTTGTGAATGGCTTCACTCAGTATAATGTCCTCAAGGTTTATCCATGTTGTAGCATATGTCAGAATTGCCTTCTTTTTTTAAGGCTGAATAATATCCACTGTTTGTATATACCACATTTTGTTTATCCACGAATCCATTGATAGATACTTGGATTATTTCCACTTCTTGGATTGTGTTAGTAATGCTGCTATGAATATTGATACAATATTTTTTGACTGATAATAATCTGGGAACTAAGGCTTTTAGCCACACCTTTAGATTGTTGACCTTAAGCAATTTCCTATCAAAATTAGATTACAGTGACCCCAAAGAGATCTAAAATACGATGGATGATGCCATCAAATAAAGGCCTATTTCTGTTCTTTTGATCTTAATGATTATTTTAATCTTATGAGGTGATATAGCCTCATAGGAGTGGATGCCTTTAGCACAACAGTCTTTGTCACCTTCAGTTGCCAGTCTCATCCCATCCCCTTCATCATGTTCTGACTGCACATCAGTATCAGGGAAGGGTAAGTGTGATTTTAGCTCTCACCATCCTGCCTTTCTCATTTGCTAAACTCATTTATTTGGGGAAGGGAGATGTCTTAGTGAGTCTCTGTGTATCTTAGTTTTGTAAAAAATAAAGAAAAAAAAGAAAAACACAACATGAATTGCATGAAGTCAACAGGAATACATTTTATTTGTAACAAGTATGTATATATAGAAGATTCATGAAGATCTAATACTGACTGAATTGTGAAAAACTTGGTACAAAAAAACTCCAACAGATGTGTTACTAAAAATAAAATTCACAATACATTGATGTTTGGCTGAATTAACTCATTCAACCCATTGCTTTGGTTGCATAGCTCAGAGTTATATACAGTATACAATTCTGATTTCCCATTAGCCTTGAGTTAGATACTATGGCACAGATATAAACAATGTGACATAGATGTTCATAACGAATGTACTGTAATTTATGCAATAATCATAAAATAAGTACACAGAAATATCATTACAACGTCCTCTGTGTAAAGCTACAAGATAATAGTCATTACAGGAGAGATTTGATTAATGCTAGAAATGCTACTGGAAGAAAGATTACATATTCAAAATACTATAAAAAATAATAACCACTTCAGGAAAATTATACCTTTCATAACTGGAAAATAATAAATTTTGTAATATAAATGACTTTAAGATAAAGGACATACTTGAAAGCCCCACCAGTGTTCATTTAATGTGAAAGGGTATCTTTCCATCCTTCATTTCACCAAAATACCGGATTGTGATCATCAGATATAATTGACCTATTAGGTGTTTTCACCTTATTAAGATTGTTTGTCACTGCTATGACATTAGAGAATATTTCTACAAGGACATCGAGGAATGTTGAAATAAAAATGTTTGTCTAGAGGTCATGATTGTCCAAATAGACAGAAAATATATTCTCAGACACTGGTTATTTTAGATAACCCCTCACCTCTTTTGTTGTATGTTAGTGCGGTTTAAAGGACACCCACAGCAATACACTCTCCGAATAACAGTAATCTTCTTGCCTTATAAATACCCTGAAAGCAGATATATAATTCAGCTATTCAAAAATTATATACTTCCTTTCATTATTAATTCTCTGCTACTATCAAATATGATAATAATAGTCTCATGCATGGCACTTTTGATGTATCATAAAGTGTTTGTTTCTCATTGAAAGAAATAGCTGCTTTTCCACACTGGTAAAAAAATACTTATGTATTCCACGAGCACTGTATCGCATAAAATGGAAATTGGCTTCATTTTCCATTTATATTAAGAGTAATCTTCCAAGTGTCTTGCTAGTTCACTGTGTTTCATTTTCTCCATGAACAGTTCATCAAATACTCTCTTCTGCTTTGGAGTAAAGTAGTTTATCCAATCACCCACAGCTCCTGGAAAGTGTATCAGACAAGAACCAATTTAAATGTACAGTAGTCACAAAAGACATCTGTCAGATTTATAACAAAATGTGGACAATTTCACCCTTTGGTGATAAGGTGATGGGGAAATTATTCTTTTCTTAATTTGCTTACCTGTTGCTTCTAATTTCTTTAGTAATAGTTGCATGTCAATTTGTATAGTTTAAAAAGTTATTTCTTAAAAAGAAAGGAAGATTAAAAATACACAAGTGTCCTAGGTTTTATGGTAGCAGGCAAAAAAGTCTCTCAACTAAACCTAATCAAAACCTAAAGCAGACAGTGGATATAGCGATGCTTCATTTACTCCCCTGTCCGTGTGCCTCCAGAGCAGCAGCTGTGCTGATAACACACCACAGGGGTGAGCAACTGGCCTCATTTTAAGGAAATTTACTTTACAATACTGATAACAGAGAGTTGAAAATAAAATTGAAATAAGATACAGTTGAACCTTGAACAATGTGAGGGTTAGAAGCAGCCACCCCCTTTCCCAGTCACAAATCTATGTATAACTTTGGACGCCTCGAAAACTTAACTACCAATAGTCTACTGTTGACTGGAAGCCTTACCCATAATGTAAACAGTTGACTGACATGTACTTTGTATGTTAGGTATAATATATACTGTATTCTTTCAATAAAGTAAGGTAGAGAAAAGAAAATGTTATTAAGAAAATCATAAGGAAGAGAAAATATATTTACAGTATGTATTGAAAAAAATCTGTGGATAAGTGCAGTTCAACCCATGTTATTCAAGGGACAACTGGACTTCACACAGTCCATCGACCTCTCCTGTTCTTACCAGTCACCCTCTCAGCCTCAGCACAGTGTCAACCCCTCAGGACTGCCCTTCTCACATCCACTGTGCGCACTGTGCCAAGCCCCACCCCTAGATCTTGCCCACCATGGTCTTCTGCTACTTCTGGCCCTATACTTCATCCCTGGGGTCTAGGTTAACTGGAGACAGTAATGCATCATCTTATTCCCTCATTTACAGACAGCCATATATCATTCTGTATTATCTTCCCCCCTGATTAGTTTATAAACTCTTTCAGGTTATGGATTGTGACGTATTGTTCATGTGTATTCCTGCGGTACCAAATCCAGTGCTGACTGTATAGTGGATGCTCAATAAAACCCATGGTTTGATTGAATGTTAGACAATGTCAGCTACAGCAAAGAAATTTATTCATATTATAACTTAAGAAATGTTTGATGTTGATTCCTAGTCCAAAAGGCTGGGTTTAAAAAGAAAGTAGAACTCTTCTGTTTGGGATAGGGGAAGGAAAGAAAGTACGAGAGAGAAGATCCCAGAGTCAGGAAATGACATAATGACATTGTTTCTAAAACACCCCACTTGGGGCATAAGGTCAGTTTCAATATTCTTTGGTCTTTCCTGGTTCTCCCTTGTAGTTTCTGATATCAAATCACCTAGACCACTGCTGTCTGCTTTTATTTGACCTGGCTTTTGTTTGCTTGGTTTCTAATGTATTCTTTCACTCTGACTTTCTTTTACTTTTAAAAAAAATATTATTTTAAAAAATAAAATAGTAGCTATTAAATGTAAGTTAGAGGAAATACCTATAAGCAAAAGAAGATAAAAATCAAGAAGATATACTCAGCTAACTTGGCTAACAAATCGGCTGGCATACATTCTTCCAAATGTTCTTCTTCGCAAACATAAATGCATATAAACTACATCTTAAACCACACAATTATAACCTAATTTCCCCCACTTATTATACTTTGACCATCTTCCCAAATTAGTGTTTATATACCAACAATGAAAGTTATGGTGAGTAGGGTAAGACTGTTTGGATTCAAGTCCTGACTCTACCACCTACTACTTGTGTGTCTTTGGACAAGTTATTCAGGTGTTTGGTGTTTCAGCAAAGCGTCATAACATAAATACCATCCCCAGAGGTCTGTTGTCAAAGTCCAGACAAACCAAGCGATGTGCCTGGGACAGAGAAAGCAGTCAGTGAATGCTAGTTGCTTTTACTCTATAGTTTTCATGACTCCATCGTAAACCCCTATACGGATGTGACTTCCTATGTTAACAGTTTCTGATTAGCAACCTTTCAGTGCATTCTAGGTTCTCATTGTTAGAAGCAATATTGCTACATACATCTTGTCCATACACCTTTCCATACTTCTGTAATTCTCCCCCTAGATTTTAGTATGTCAGAAGCTGCAGGACTTCTGACACTTGTGAGGACTATCCTTGCTTAACACCGTATCGCCCTGGCTACTATAGTCATTTTCTAGAATATCAGCTCTATTTCTGAGTTTAAAGTAAAGACCGCTGCAGGCACAAATTCTCCTCTGTAAAATGAGGAATATCTCTACATGCCCAGGATTCTGAATCAACAACCTTCGTAGTTTCTTTGAAATGCTTACTTTCAGAGGATGGATCCCCCTACTCCCACCCCTTCCAGCAAACATCCGTGTGTTTAGTTCCTCACACAGACCAAATTTACCAACTGGTGCTCATGGTGACTAGTATCAGTGAGGATGTTCCTACTATCAACCTTCTGTGCTTTGTTAGATACAAGATAAGGAAACCTATAACTTATAGAAAGAACTGAAATGTGTTAGAATGAATGAACGTTGTTGGCTACAACTATGTGGATACAATTTAACTTGGAAATATTTGCTAGGATCACAAGTATGGCAGGTCAGAGATAAACTCTATTATCTTTAGAGGAAAATTTCTCAAGTCTGTATGATAAGATGTGTGAATTCTGAGAATTTGCTAATCAGATCTCAAAGGGCAGTGGTAAAAGACATCACTGGACTCCAGCAACCATCAGAACTTTTTTATTTCTCCTCATCTTTACCATGGTGCTTCCCAATCTCTCTCTCTTTCTCTCCCCTTTGCTCATTTCACCTTCATTCATGCACCCTTTTCCAAATTCTTTGTCTTCCCTTTATCTTCTCTCTCCTACCCCTCTTTTTTCTTGACCCTGTCTCCCTCCTAAGCTCCCATATCGTATCTTCTTAAAAGGGTGCTCCTTATTTACTGCTTCTTTTTAAATTTTTCATCTCTTTAAACCCCTCAACTTGGCCTCCAATCCCACTTTCAGAATTCACGAATGATAAATAAGTGTTCGTGTTTGACCCTGGCTTTCTTTCCAATTCTGGCTAATCGCTTTTCTTGTCTTGGAGCTGTTTCATTCCCATTGATGGCAGGGTCCCTGGGCTACCCCTTCTGTCCCTTTCACCACTAGGCCTTCCCACTCACCCTGAATAATTTTACCAAATTTCACAATCTGCGAAAGGCTCCTAAACTGACTTCTAAGCTGAGCTCCACTCAACAGTGATTCACCGCCACTGATCAAATTGCCATCATCAGTGTTTCATACCTGGACTATTACAACGACCTCTTTACTGAACTTTCTGCCTCTGCTTTCAAACTCTTCTAATCAATTTTCCACACATGTCTGACCATGTCAGGTCCCTTCTTAAAGCAAACAAACAAGGGAGAAGAAAAACCTCTGTGTGATGTCCATCAAAGCTTTTGCTCTCTGGCCCCAATCTCTTCATCTCCTGCATTCCACTTCATACATCGTATACCATTCTAGCACATGACAGTCTACCTGCTCTTTCTAGAAAATACCATCCAATTTCATGCTCGTTCTGAGCTTCTCTTCTTGCTGTTAGCTCTTACTACCCAACCTGCTTCTAAGTTACATGTTAGGAAATAGTGGAGATTGATTTTCTTCTCTTTGTGTTTCCATGCAGAAGAATGTCCTTAGATAACAATCCCAGCTCTCGCTCCGCCCCTTACTTCTCTGCAGGGTAAGTTATTTGATTGATGAGTTTGGGAAAATGCACTGTCCACACTCATCAGCTCCTTTCTGTCTCCTGAAGAAAACATGTCATATACCATGCTCTAAACTGACCTGCTCCATAGGGGGGACAGGACTGCATCTGATTGACCATGAGTAAGAGTATGTTTATAAAACTCAGGGTAACTTATTAGCAAAAACACTGGTCTACAGACCAGAGACACATTCTTCAAATAATTGTATCATTTCTATCTGTTTGCCACCTGTGTTTTTCTCTCAATTGGTTCCTAACAGTGCATGGAAATCTCAAAGTCTGGAAAGAATGCAATTCAAGAATTTCATTTAATAAACATTCACTGGTGGATGGCAATGTGTAACCTTGTGCAAGATATGGGGTGCAAGATGGTGAAATGAGGGTTAAAAAGGTAAAATGGAACTATTTCCAAACATAAGCCCGAGGCAAAGGACCACCTCCCTTTCTGACTTACCTTTCCTAAATACCAGGTTCTTATTAGATGTGAGGGCACAGATGGTCTTGTTGGGGTCACAGTTTTCTTTGGCTGCGTTATTTTTCATTTCTTTGAATGAGGATTTCCAAGCAATCTGATGAATTTCGCTCTCACTCACATTTATGCCGAGGAAAGTCGTTATTTTCTTTATGCTTTTAGAAAGATCCTGAGCAATAAGCAAATAAATAAATGAGTTTTGTTACTCATCAAAACACCAAATTCATTCCCTCAAACCTGAAAACAGAGTTCATTGATCGATTTCCTGTATTAACTGAATTTGACTTAAATTTTGATTGTTGAAAAGTTAGGAGAGACTTACTTTCTTCATTTCTTCATAGAATATAAATAGAATGTTTTTATCATTTTTGTGATCTTCCCAGCTTAAAACATGATCAAACCAGGATCCATACACAACTAGAAGAAAAGTGAATTGTTGTGTTAATATTAAACATTGTGGCTTTGGGTCCCTGGGTTCTTCCTACTTCAGCAAAGTTGTCAAAGCAAGGCACATACATCTTAGACTTCCAATGAAAAGGCTTTCCTTAGAAAAGCTCAGTTTCACTATTGTTTCAACTCAATACAATATTGTGAAGTTGCATAGTGTTATCTTTTCATAAGGCTGTATGGGTTTTTTTTCTTATTTTTAGTAAAAATATTTTTTATCATCAAGAGAAGTGACAGCACAAATACAGTGATATACTATTTCCCAATAACCATGTTTTGATAACTGCTCTGGGTCTTGAGAGAAATACAGAAACACTGAGAATTTGCTATTTTATTTCTATAATGTGACGTGCTTTTCATAATTATAAGTTCTTAGCATGAAAAGTTTATAAACCTCCCTGTCCCCAACCACCACCACTACCCAAAAAATTAATTCTATTCAGGTATCTTAGCTCAAGATTGAGAAATACAGACTTAGGGATTTGTAAGTAGTTGATATTGTCTCTTTAATGTTTTGTTAATTTGACAGATTTAAATATCTCCAGATCTTAAAAGTAAAATACTATCATGCAAGGTAACCTCTAAGGCCATGATGATTAAAAGCAAACAGGGGGCAACTGCTTGTCACCACAAAAAGCTGACTAGGTTGACAATCTAAAGCATAAAACAATAATTTAAAATACTAAATATACATCTTTCCAAGCATCTTTATCATCCAAAGATTTAATACTAGCTGGTTCCCCAGTCATAAAAGAGCTACTCTCCTAGTGATTTCCTGAAGATCTGCTGACTATTGATTCATTTAATAAACATCTATTAAGCCAGACACTGTGCTATGTACATTTCAAACCATAAAGCTTTGAATAAATTACAGTATAACTAACTCTAAACTAAGTGCGATTTTTCATGGCTTCAACTCCTGAGGAAGCAAAGAGCAAGAGAATAACTATAATGTATTTTTGAAGCAGAAACTTCTGGGACTGCGGTGGTATCATTAGAGTCAGCCCAATATTCTACTACCCTTTGGACCTGAAGGGCTGTATAATAAGAACTGGTTCTTGGAAGAAATATCCAGGTACAGTTTTCGGTTATCAGCAATCTCAATGCTATTTCCGTGCCTAACATTATACTTTGTTTTAGAATTACCCCAATTACCGTATCAGTGATAAGGGTTTATCTTCTAAGAATGACCAACATTTTCCCAAGCACAAACACATGGTAGGAGGAAGACTGATTTTTCTCTCACATAAATTTAGGAAGTTAACTAGTCTCAACTAGTCTCTAGTTCCTCAGACTACCTCACTGTCTCAACCCTCCATGCCAACCCCCACCAGCAGTCACAGCCCAGCCCTTGTAGGTAATGTCACTGCCAAGAGTTGTTGATAATGCAGAGCCCTCAACACCATCTGGGGGAGCCCATGCTTCTGTGGCCAAGAGCTAGGTAGGGAGAGAGACCCAGAGTCACACTTCGTGGGTGGGGTGGGGGTGGGCAGGGTAGTGTGACTGACCTGCCCATTATGGTTATTCAGCAGGAAATGTATTCCAACATATCCAAAATAGATTTAAGAGGAAACATTTGGATCCTAGCCTGATCATAATTTGAGAGCCAGCTGTTCTATTATTAACTAATTAACTTATACTGTCCCTTGTTCCAAAAGGACTCAAACTATCCAAAAGAATCTACAGAAATTGGCTGCCTGTGCCTCTCTCACTAATGTAGGAAATTACAGTTTGGGTTAATTTTTAAATCATAATCCTTATTGTCCAAATCATGAATAGAACTACCACGGCATTAAAGAAAATACAGTTTCTCAAATAGAAATTTGAAATCTTGCTTTTATGGGAAATGTTTTCTCCATATCTTTCACTTAATTACAAAATTATTCCACCACTTCCTGGCCTTAATTAACATATGCTTAGATGGCCCTCCTGCTCTCCAAAAATTACTCTTTCCCCTGAAATGGTCTTAAATACAAGTTGTCTTTCTGAAACAATTCATGTGTCTTAGGGTCTAGAGAGCAAGTGAGCAATCTCTGCTTTCTAGGGACTTCGAGAACTCCTCCCTCCGAGACAATCCAGGCTCCTTTAACATGTCCTTTGGCTATACCGCCCTTTCCATCCTGGTTTCAGCCAGAAACTAACCTTCCGATCTCTCCCCCACAGTCACTGAAGACTGATTTTGGAGGACAGTCTTCTGTGTGATCTCAGGCCTTGCTCCAGCTACAGCAACTTTAATGGACAGTTTCTGCAATACCCTCCTCTACCTGTACTTTCTTCTCTTTGTACATCCCCTCAACAATTTTCTCACCAATATTTTCCATTTCCTTGCCCCACTATACTTCATTTTAATCACCTCCAAAACACTCAGTATTGGATCAAAACACTTCATCTTCTTTCCATCTCACCTACTCTTTCTGAGTTCTGCTGCAGAAACTCATACCACTCTGTGTTGACACCACCGCAGACTCATTTTCCAGCCGAAAGGGCCCCAGGGCTGCCTGGCAACCCGATCTGCGCTGCATTAACGCACTCGGCTATTCTCCAGTTGTTTCAAACCTCCCTTAATATCTGCAAACCCTCTGCCCCCTCATATCCAGTTACGATGAGCATCTTAGTGTCCAGTTTCTAGGAAGCATTCTGATGACAGATAATGGTGCAGAAAACAAAACTCACAGGGATGAAGTGGCCTAGGAAGTACAGAGCTCTAATACACCACGGGAGAAGGGGCTACAGGGGATAAGTAAATGCTCAGATATTGCTTCACTGAAATAGTAATCTGCCAGGGTACTGGCAGAATACAATTTATAGTTATTGTTTAATTTGAAAACCGGAAGTGTTTGTAAACTGTGTGAAAGACAAATTAGATGATTAGATAAATGTGTCACTATCTTCATCTTTATAGTACTGTCTTGCTATATAATGTGTAATTATGTCTATGGTTTAAAGATGGCTTTTGGAATATCATGACGCCTCACTTGTAAAATAGTCTTTCTAGGTAAATATCTACTTATAACATTTCCACCTTAACGTGAAATTATTTAAAAGTCTTTGTGTCTTTAAAAGTTATGTCTAGCCTGGCCGGGAGTGGCTCAGCAGTTGAGCATCGACCTAAAATCTAGGAGGCCGGGGTTCGATTCCCAGTCAGGGCACATGCCCGGGTTGCGGGCTCGATCCCCAGTCAGGGGTGTGCAGGAGGCAGCCGATCAATGACTCTCTCATCATTGATGCTTCTATCTCTCTCTCTCCCTCTCCCTTCCTCTCTCTGAAATCAATAAAGATATATTTTTTAAAAAAGTTATGTCTAATAGAATAAGTCAGTAGATTTTTACGGCAAATTTTAGTCATTACTTAATTTGAACCTCTAAATAATCCTGCAAAATAGATGGTTGTATTAGTCCCATTTTATATTAGGAGTTTGAACCTTAGAATGGTTAAGCTATTGTCCAAAATCTCACAGAGAATAAATTATTGTCAGGAATGGATCCCAGGCCTTCTGCTCCTAGAGCCTGTTCTTTCTATTATATCATGTTGTCATATGCAAGAGAAATAACCCTCCCCTCAAACAGTCATTGAAGAACACTCTTGAAACGCGGTCATATACATCATACACACACACACACACACAGGAAAACAAACAACACTGTCGTATAAAAAGTAAAATGTTAAGCAACTGCTCCCACCAGAGTAAATTTTAAAAAGCTTTAGTGATTCAGTGACTATCCCCGTGTCTGCAGGGTTTGCCCAGGCTGGATTACACAACTGTAGAACACTTACAAGTCAATCTCTTTACAATGAAAAATCTATTAACTCACCTAAGAAGGTATAAAAGAATCACCTGGGATATTTTTTCTACCAACTTACTCTGCTACAATTCCTGATACTTGGATAGCAAAAGCAAATGTTCCATGAGGCTAGTTTGCTTCCCTGTGTGTGGCCTGTGTTGGCCTTTCTGTAGCTACGTTCATAGAAAAATAATCCTCGAACAGAATTAATCAGATCATATCCTAAGGCTGCTTTGTCTTCTGGGCATTGCAAAATTATAGAGCTACAGCCAAATCCGAGCTCATGCAGTGGTGAGGGAGGAAGGGGGAGCCACAGCAAGTAATAATGGGAGACAAATGCAACTTTTTTTCTTGAGAAAAAGCAGGCTCAAGGTCTGTTTTAAAAAAATAATTTATGTATTTAAACTCTGCTTATTCCAAAAATGGAATTAAGGCAGAGTGAGGTATGCTAACCATCTTCAAATATTTAGAAGGCTAACACGTGGAAGAGCAACTAATGATCGGGGCACAATTATTTGGTGGGATGAGATATGGCACAGTGGTAAGAGCAAAGATTTGGAGCTGACATCCGAATTTAAATCTTGGCTCTACTCCTTAATAGTTATGCATCTATGGGCCAGTTATTTGGCCTCCCAAGGTCTGCATTTTCCTCACCTGTAAAATGAGGATAATAATATTGACCTCATGTGGTCTAGTGAGGGTGAAAAGAGATCACGTTTGCACAGCACTTAGCTAAGTGTCTATATCACATGGTAAGATTTTTTTTTTTAACATTTTAGAAGTACCAAGATGAAATGTGTTCCTTTGGAGCAGGAGTATGGAGTGTGAACGTGTTGTCAAGGTTGTTAAGAAGTTCAGGCTTAGTCCTGGCCCGTGTGGCTCCGTTGGTTGGGTGTCATCCCGTGCACCGAAAGGTTGCCAGTTTGATTCCACATCAGGGCACTTGCACAGGTTGTGGGCTCAATCCTTGGCAAGGGCGTGCAGAAGGCAGCCGCTCAGTGTTTCACTATTACATTGATGTTCCTCTCTCTCTCCCTCTCCTTTCCTCTGTCTCTAAAAATCAATAAAAAATCTTAAAAAAAAAAAAAATTCAAGCTTAGCTTCTACAATTCTTGGAGATGTTGTAAAGGTGATTCAAACATCGGGTGGGTGTTTTATACAGAGGACCTTTAGTGTATGTGTCACTCCTGAAACTTTATGAGTCTCCTAGATGTGTGCTATTAAATGAGGAACTAGAGGAGCTGAAATAGTATGAGAACAGCATATCCTTCCAAAGGGAACAGATATAGCAAAACAAAGTATTAAACCTTGTTGCTGGTGACTTCCCAGTGTCCTCAGGTTAAGTTTACACTTACTGTGGCCTCTCTTAAATTAAGAAGCAAAAGCAGGACAATTTCATGTAAAATAGTGAAACTAACAATTAAGATCTACTCTAAGCCCAGTAAGAGATAAAATCTGGATACACACCATTTCTAAATAATGTCTCTTTTCATTTCTGTATTTTCTTGGTATATTATTTTTGTTGAATATACCTTGGTCATTTAGAAGGTGCTTTTTGTTTTTGCTTTTGTTCTGTAAGAGCTCCAGACACCACTGAATTTATTCACAGGAAAAGGGAATAAATTCAAAGGTCATGCCTGTTAGCAAGACCAACATATGCTACGCAGCTCAATCAAATGATGTATCATTGTGGTGTTTTCAGGATAAATTACTTTGTTAGTTTTTATAAAACCAAGTGCCAGGATGGCTCATTCTTTCACATTTGTTTTATTTGGAGAATCTGAGGGTTGTTCGTGTGCATTGTTCATTTGTATTTTTTTATTGTACATGCAGCTATATATAAGGCATGTTTGAGGCTACTTTTCTAGCTCTCAGCTGTATTTCACTGTACTCCAATTAGTGCATAATTATCTCACTGAAAAGACTGATGGTATAAAAAGAAAGAGATTCTTTGTCAGCATTAAGCTTAATAAGAAACTGCTAATATGTACTACCCATGGTGAAAAAAAAGACTGTGAAGCAGCACCATGAGGATTGCTTAGAAGTAAAAGAATCAGCTACTCAAGGATGTACTTCTGAAAGTAGGCATTGGAATCCATTTAAACTTTTGGAAAATTCTTTCATTTCGAGCAGAAAGGTTCACTGTATATTATGAATAAAAAATCATTGTCATATTTACCATTTCCTTTTAGAAATAGCTCTAAAAATGCAGCCCAGGTTTCAACGCCGGGGAGATTCGGGTTATCTCTGTAGTAGTGGAAGAGAGAAACAGCAGTGTCTTTTGGATTCCTAACGATGTAGATAATCTGTTAAAAAGAAAACAATTTATTTTTGGGTGGAAATAGCACCAACACAAAAAATTTCCTATAAGAGAGTAGGAGCCAGTCCTGGAAAAATCAGGAGGAACACTTTGTAAAGTATATGATTGTCTAACTACTATGGTGTACACCTGATAATGCAAAATAATATTAAATGTAAATTGTAATTGAAAAAAATTTTAATAAAAAAATGTTAAAGAAAAGAAAAAGTAGAAGCTAAGCTTACCTGTGCCAGTCACGATTTCTTGGCAGCTTCAGCTAATTATTAACCACAGACTTAAGCCAGTGTTTCTCTACACTTAACGTGTATATGAACCAGCAGGGGATGCGGCCAGCTCACCAGTGGGGTAAGGCTTGGCCGGCCCCTAAGCCTTAGGGCTTGGCCATCAGCCACAGAGGCAGCTCATCCTCTTGGGAGACCAGGGACAACCAGAGTCTCCGTCCACATTAGAGGTCACATGAAAAGGCTTGTAACTTCTGCTGTACTTTTAGTGTGGTAGTTTAAAGAAGCACTCTAACCTTTCTGAGCTTGAGTTTCTTTGCTTATGAAAATAAAATACCCACTCCTCTCATTTTTGTAATGTGTTTATAAAACACAGCTCAACCTCTAGTAGTCATTTCTGATCAGTGTTATTGCACTGCCCTGAGTAAGGGTGATTGAGTTCATCAGACTCTTTTTCTCCCCGGATCTCTCTCTGTCTCAGACACAGCCTGAAATGAAAATGCTCGGCTGAGTGAAAGTGTAATCCAGTTAGTACAGCTTCACCTGTTCTGGTAGATTCGCTGGGGATAAAGGCAAAGCTCTATGACCCGTGCCTCTGCTTGGCTGTGTTTACTTTTCTTTGGGCAGAAGAATAGACGGTGTGCATAGAGACATTGTGGTCATAGCGTTATAATCATGGAAAGATCTGTTTCGATTTGTACACATTTGACTGGTAGGTTATTTTTGTTATTTTTGGAATATGGCTGACATTGTTTAAAGAGGCTTCACTACTGGGAACTTGTTACAATAAACACATGTATCTGCCTTTGCTTTTCAATTTTTTTTTCTGATCAAAACAGAATTTTTAAAAATGCTTCTTATACAGACATTTGTAAAGAAAATAAAATCCAATCCTAATGTCATACCACAGAAATCACTCAACATGCTGTTATATTTACATCTAGACCTTTTTTCTGTGTGTATATGTATATTTTAATTAAAGAGATTATTCAGAATATGTGTATTTAAACATGCTTTCTACTTAACCTTATTCCATAAGCATTTCCCCATGAAAACATAAATTTTAATACAAAATATAAAGATATTCTTTTAAATTACAGTTAACTTTTAAAATAAAAATAATATGGTAACTTTATTTTTAAAATAGCTTGAGGTAATTATTCTTTAGCATGTTATACACAATATTTTTTATTCCTTTCCTATATAATACTTTGCAAAAATGACAGATAAAATAATAAGGCAAATTTTCTTCTCCTAGACATCAATATTTAAAGTAAAAGATTAAAACCACATTAAGAATAGAATAAGACATAGTCTAGTGTAATTACATTTCATATTTCTTTCATTACTGAAAGATTATTAAAATAACTTTTAAAAGCTAGATACCGTGGTCACACCTATACATGCACTGTCTTATTTAATCTTTACCACACTGTATGAAATCGATACCACTATTCCTGTATCAAATGAGGAAACAGACTCAGAGAGCATCAGCAGTTTTCCAAGGTCACACATCTCGAAAGTGGGGGAGCAAAAAGATGAATACGTGGGGGAAAAAAAAGTGACAAAATCTGAATATAGTACAGACTTTAGTTAATAATAATTTATCAACATTGGTTCATAAATTGCAATAGATATGCCATACAAATGTAAGATATTAATAACAGGGAGAAGGGGGAGATGGAAACTCTGTGCTATCTAGTCAAATTTTCTGTAAATCTAAGCCACTTTAAAAATAAAGTCTATTGCCCTACCCCTGTGGCTCAGTGGCTGCGTGTTGACTCAGGAACCATAGGTCACAGTTTGATTCCTCATCAGGCCACGTGCCTGGGTTTCGGGCTCGATCCCCAGTAGGGGGCGTGCAGGAGGCAGCCGATAGATGATGTTTCTCTCTCATTGATGTTTCTAGCTTTCTATCCCTCTCTCTTCCTCTCTCTCTCTCTAAAAAAACAAACAAACAAACAAAACCAAAAAAGCACAACAACAACATTTAAAAAAATAAGGTCTGTTAATTTTTTTAAAAAAGAAAAGAAAAAAAGGAAGTCTCAGAACAATAATCCAAGCGGGTTTTGTGGTATTCCCAAGCTTCCGCCCTTCACCATTGAACTTACCTTGCATTGTTTTTGTTTAACATCCACTGGTAGCATGTTATAGTTCAAATGTGTCGGAATGACTCTTCTATTACAACACATTTTTAGCTCTTCAAATTTAGAAATGTCTCCCAATTCAATTGGAGATGTTAGAGTAATTTCAGCGTTGGGAATGTTCTCAATGACTTTTGCAATCCAGTGAGTGCCTTCACACAAAAATAAAATAAAATTCATTTTTAATTAAATGGTCCTCTTGATGAAATGAATTTAGAAAATTAGCATCAGGTTATAAAGTCAATGGATGTATTAATTTTATTATAAATAGTTTTACCTCTTGACACCCATTGAAACCTGCTAAAATATTTAAGATATTAATTCATTATACAGGAAAAATCACATTTTAAAACTGTATATATACTGTTTCCTCAGCTTGAAATACTCTTCTATGCTACCACTCAACTCTAACACCTTCTCCAATTCACAAATACCCAGATCTTCCCACACATAGTTCCTATTGGTCCTGCAAGCTCATGCATCTTGCTCTCTTAGAAACTGTCTTCTGACTCCCCACTCCCCTGGAATACTTGCTCACCCTTCCAGTCCCTCCTAAGAAACACACACCAGAGTATACCTGCCATCTCTTGTATTTATGTCTATCTCTCCAGTTCCCCCTTGAAGATAGACACTGGATCTTATTTTTGTTTGTGTGTAAATACAGAGTAGTTGTGCAAACAAAGCATTAGAACAATGAACAAATGGTATATTCAAACATCATAGAGATGCAAGCCTTCTACCTGGATGTCTGCAAGGAATACCACTTTATGTTTACATCAAGCAAATGTGGATGTGCTCCAGTGTTGTAGACACTAGTAAGTGTGAGTAGGGAAACAGAAGTTTGGGTGGGGACAATTTTTGCTACTTTGAAAGCAATGTCCGTGAAGAATTTAAATCAACCTTAGTTTCCATTTATCTCACTGCAATTACAATTTTAACAGATAATAAATATTCATAGTTTAAATAGTGCTCTCATTTGCATTATATGTCATAAATTTAAGACTTTTGGGTTATAACAGTCATATAACTGACTCATATAGTAGTGATAGTTGTTTATTTTAACAAACTATATTGATTTCTTCTAATGAAGAGAGAGAATACAATTTGTGCTGCTGAAGGAGACCTGGAAGCTGGTGGGAAGGTGTCAATTTCTAGGCACCAATATGTACAGTGGAAGCCTTATTCTTGGTTGTTTATATATGGTATAAGTTAGCCACCTGTCCCAAGAACCTTAAAAGTATCATTAATTACTTTCTAAACTAACATATCAATTTAAGATAAGGTATAATTATTCACAGAGCAACCTATTGCATAGCAAGAATACTGAGGTATTCTGGAGGCAATCATTTCATTTCCATTTGCAGCAATATTTTCCAGTAAAGGAGATACATATATGTTTTATATTTATTCTCAAAAACACCCTGGGAGTTCTGACCCTATGTGAACTCTGCATCATCCAAAGGAAGGGTTTCTTGGGCCTGACTTACAATCCAATGAGGGGACTCAGTACACACACAACACAAAGGGAACTTGGCTCTCAGTTGCTGAATCCAGGGTAGCAGGCATATGCTCAGCCACACACATCCACTATTCTGGACACAGCAACAGGCAGTTGGATAGTATATATACTGGTCACTTCTAAGAATAAACAATAACATTATTAATTTAAATAATAAGGTAAAATCTTTAATAAGAAAAGTATTTATGGTTCTTGTTAGTCTAGAAGGAAAAAAAAAACCTATTTATTTATAAATCAGTCATTAACTAGAAATAGAACAAACACTATTTATCACCATGCCTGGCACAGAGTACGAAGAGAATTTTATAATGCTATAGATATTAAGCTTATCATATATGTCAACATTTGTATGTCTTCATAAATAAAATAAAAACAAGAGTGTAGTAAAGCTCTAATTTCTCCAGTTGAGTTTTTCAAAGCACATTTTTTTCCCTCTACTGTTAAACTTTTCCATTAGAATAAATAAGTATTTCAATTTCCTGTGGGAAATTCTGATAAACAAATATTTTGTAAAAATTATTATATTTATTATTATTATTATATTCCTACATTTACAAAATACATTAAAATAAGCTTTACCAGATTTTGGATAGGAAACCAGAAACACATCATCTTCTCTTGCGTTGAAAGAATCCAGGGAATTTAGAAGTTCTTCTGAAGACATAGTAGAAAAGAGGATCTCCTTGAATTTATGAAGAACTCTTGACTGGTTTCGGGATGACATCCTTCAACAAATCAATCAAAAATTACTTACTAAACACCAATTTTACACAAGGCACAGAGCAAGTACAGGCCTTGATTTCTATCCTAGCTCAGTAGCAACGTAATCAGAATTACTGAGCTGGTATTCCAACTAGAGGAACATATATATACCTTTTGCAATTTTCACAAGAGTAATTTTTAAGCCATCACCCAGCCAAAGTTTACTGTGACAGTTATGTTATCTGAATTTCACTGATAACACATATGAAAAAATATTTCCTCCATTTGTCACTCAGAATAATTTAGATACGAAGTTTTCAAGCTATTAAAATGTAATCCTTTAGGAGACTAAGATTTATCAAATCCCTTGACCTAAATAAGGAAAGACTTTTAGTGGCTATAATGGATAACATCACTATGGTAGTGACGGGGAAAACCACACACAGTAGAGGAAGTAGCTAGTATTGCATTTCGGGAAGAGAGGAGGAACAGAATGAGAAAAAGTTAATTCTGGGAATTGGCAGATCAATCTGTGACTAACTAAACCTTACAGGCAATAAAAGGCAACACGTGAATCAGGAAACCCAAGCCAGAAAAGGGACACACACAGCTACGATGCACACAGGAAGTTTTTGGTGAATTAAATAACTTGTCTGAGTCATTCTTAATTCTTGTCACTGATACTATCGTCTGGATTCAATTAGATATGGCGATAAAGTGCCCAGTTACTTCAGTGAACCACAGTTGAATTGCTGCCTAACCATTAAAAAAAAAAAGGTATACCAACAAAGAAATGATCAGTATTTAACTGAGTACAAAAAAGTAGAGGTCCACTGTGTACGAAATAACTAAAGGGAAAGACATATATAATAGTGGCAGAAATGAGATTTAGAATGATTATCTATACACATTGTGGACAAAAAGGAGGTTCTATGGATAGTAACCTCACAGGATGACCTGATCATAAATTCCTAACTAGGCAGGTCATGGTGGGTAGTCATGCCCCAGGCATATAATTTTTAGTAAAAGGGTTATCTTTGCTTTAAGCAAGCCTTGTCCATTGTTTCTGTGCATCTATGTTAACATGCCTTTGAAATAAGCCGTAATCACCCCCAAGAGAGCACATAATCTTAACTCTCCTGTTGCTTCCTTCCACCTTTGTGTAAACTTCCTAACCTTACCTCCTTCATTTCAAATGCATAAAAGAAACTGCTATTCTCAGAAGCATGTATCTCAGTCTGTTGAGATCTTGCTTCCAGGTGTATCCTTTGTTTGACTCAAATAAGTATTTATAAAATTCTCTACAGGTTTGGACATTTCATATGTTGACAATATAGAAAATCCCAAAGAATCAAAAAACGATTAGAATGAATATATAAATTGCATATGGTTGGTGGATTATAATAAGGTCAATACATGAAAATAAATTGTATTTCTGTATTTTAGCAACATGTAAGTCCAAATAAGTGTTGGTTTTTTTGGTTGGTTGGTTGGTTTGGTTTTTGTTTTGTTTTTTCCAACACAATGCTCTTAAAAACAGTATAGGTTTTCTGTGAATATTACTGGTGCTCCCTCCATGAGATAAAAGCCACACCTATAAATATCTTCAGGACAGGCCACATTCTCCTTTGGAATGAGCATCATGGTGCTTTGAGATGATGCCTTTGACATTCTTAGAAGCTCTTTTTGGTCTAGCAGATAAGGTCAGACAAACATGCCCTTAATATTCTTAAAAGCCTGTTGTCTGCCTATGTGGTCTATGAGACATGTACATATTTTAATCTTTCTGAGGTGTTAACAAAGGATCTTATGGCCACATTCTTGACTTCACCTTTACCCTGGCACCATGTTTTGCTGGTACTATTATGGATGTGATCTTTGTTCTGAGGCCATTTCTTACTTTGAGAACCTTTTGCTAGCTAGAAAGACTGTCCTGGACCCTATGTCCACTAAATGCTAATACAAAACTCAACAGTTCCTCCTTTAGTCAAACTCTTTCTCCTTCTATTTTTATTATAGGCACTAGAAGAAGTCAGTTACCATTTTCAACATTCTGCCTGGAAATCTCCTTAGCAAAGCCACAAGTTTGTTAAGTACTCTTCCTTTTTTCCATACTTACTCAGGGGCTGGTGTTGCTAAGTGTTCTGCCATACATAACTCACACCCTCTTTCATCCAGCCTCCAACAATCACTTCCTCAGCGACCTTCAAGAGTTTGAAAAGTTTCCTCCTGGCCTGTCAAGCCTACTGTCCAGTCCCAAAGTCAATCTTACATGTGTCCACATAAGAATGTCCAAACCTGTATTTTATTATCTTATTTCAGCCAAACTGACAACATAAGTAAGGGAGCAAGATCTCAAATGTCCTGGAGAAGAGCAGTTTTGCAGCTTCTTTTATGCACTTGAAATTAAGGAGGAAACTAGGGAAATAACATGGAGGTGGAAAAAAGCATTACAGGATAGTTAACAAGATTATGTGCTTTCTTGAGGGTGATTATGGCTTATTTCAAAGGTGTGTTAACCTAGATGCACAGAAGCAATGGACAGGGCTTGCTTAAGGCAAAGATGAACCTTTTACTAAAAAGTCATATGCCTGGAACGTGACAGCCGACCGTGACCTTCCCAGTTAGGAATTTATAATCAGATCATCTTGTGATTTCCATAAAATTCCTTTTTTTCATCCATACCTTTTAAGTTTTTGTTACAAAAACACCTCATATACAACAGGTACCAATTTCTGTTTTATGACCTATTTGCTGAAAAACAAATCATTCCTAAGAAGTAGTCTTAAGACAATAATGTATTTTATCTCCCATAGTTTTATAATGTCACTGGCCTCAGCTGAGCAATTCTCATTTGGAGTCCCATTAAGGCACCTTTCAAAAAGCTTGGCTTGAACTGAGTAGAAATCCAAGGAAATGGAAAGGCATTTTCATATATAGGACTGTGAAGAAAGAATGTTTGGGATTTGGTATCAGAATGTGGGGTACAAAAAAAAAAAAAAAATACCACAACATGAAGTGCAGTTATTGTTTATAGAAATAATAAATTCAAGGAAAGAGGTTATTTTTCTTTCCCCATCATTTTTTGATGGTAACTTTAAGTGCCAGGATAAAACAGATTCCAGAACAGGAAATGTAAAAAAATAAGAATAGTTACCGGCAGGAGAAAAATCAGATAAGAAGGCAATATCAGGAAAGGTTCATAGGTAATGCAAGCAATAAAGTCATAAAGACTGTAGTGTCAGCGTAAGAAAAGGTAAACCTGTAGAGAATTTTCGTAAGAGTTGATTTGAGCCAAAACTGACATCAATTACTGGGAAGCAAGATTTTAAATGCTTCCAAGATCACAATTTGCAGTTTTGTTTGTTTGTTTTATGTACTTGGAGCTAAGAGGGAAGTTAAGGAAGATGACAGGAAAGTAGGGAAAGCAAGGGGGGGAGAGGGAGTTGGATTACAGAATACTTAAGAAGATAATGTGCTCTCTTGGGGCTGGTTATGCCTCTGGTGAGTATTACTTCTGGTATTTTAAAGGTGTCTAATCTACATGCACCAGAACAATTGACAGGACTTGCTTAAAGCTTTTCACTAAAAAGTTATACGTCTGGGGCATGACTACCAACCATGACCTGCCCAGTTAGAAATTTATACTCAAGTCACACTTTGAGGTTTCTTTCAGTAGAATCCCTTTTTTGGTCCACAGAAGATATAAGTGAACATGTAGCTATGCTGTGATACTAATATTCTTATGTTTATTCTTCTTTTACAACAGTTTCTTATGAAGCAACAGTCACTCTAAGGCCAGAGCCAGAAAATACTCTTTTAATGTATTTTATTGAGCACTTACAATGGGGCCAAACATTATTCTGGCTACAGGAAATAGACTCTGAATAAGACCAAAAGAGACATGATTTCATGGAGAGAATTCCAGTTCAGGGAGAAAGATAATTCTAAAAAATAGATCAACAAGAAAATATCTAGTAACGATAAGTAAAATAGCCAAAACAAAACCATGGTGATAAAAAATAGAATAACTTGGAGGCTACTTTAATTTGAATGGTTAGGGGAGGTTTCATTGATGAGAGGCTGGCTTCCATTTACCACATGCAAGAGGCGGTCCTCATTGAGAGTCTAAACATGTATTGTTGTAGAAGCAAATGAAAAGAATATCACCTCAGGCCAAAACGTACAGACACTGAGGAATTGCTAAGAGAGCTCTGATAATTGTCCTCACCAGGAGAGCAAATTCTCAGCTAAACGCAGATCTATACAGCCATGATTAAAATGCAGTGTTGGTGAGTGAAAATTTGTTTTTAATTTGTTTACTTCATTGTTTTATTTTACTTTCATGGAGCATTTTCTTGCTTTTGCTATAAGTTGAGGGAGGTTTCTGGCAAAGATGGAGTAACAGGAAGCTGGCTTACTCTTCAATTTCAAACAACTAAAAACAAAACAAAAAAAATATATATATGAAGATATAAGGAACAGTGGTATTCCAGACATTGGACACTGGGAAATGAGTTTATCCTGATGATACCACCACATATTTCTTATGAAGTAACTAAATTTGATTGTCTAAAATTAAAAAGAGTGACCATACCCAGTTTTGGTGAGAATGTGGAGGAATTATCATAGCCACAATAGGGAATGTAAAGCAGTACTAATGTTAAGCAGATCTTGAATGTTAAACATATCTCTGCTACATGATCCAGCCATCCTATTCCTTGGCGTGAGAAATGAAAACAAATATTTACACAAAGACTTGTACATGAAGGCTCACAGCAGTTTGATTTGTAATAGAAGAAACTGGGGG